TTTTTTTAAAAAAATTATTATTTTTGTGAAGCGTTTTAACACTAAAGCTGTGACGAGATGCAGGTTTTTCTATCTGGGGTGGGGTTTTTATCGGAGCAGAGTGCGCTTCCCCTCCCTCCCTCCCTCCCTCCCTCCTTCCCTCTCTCCCTCCTTCTCAGCCGCAGCTCCGCGGGGCAAGGGCGCCGCCCCGCGGCCGCTGGCGGAACGCCAGGAGGAGCCTCCCTCAGGCTTCCAGCGCTGCCGCCGCCTCCTCTCCTCGCACACGCTCTCCGAGCGCTGCCTCCGCTTGCTTTGAGGCACCAGAAACCCAAACCCAGCCTCCTCCCTGTTCTCGAGGAGGTTGCTTTCAATCCTGCAAGAGTTGGCGTGGTGGGACGTGCCCCACTGCTCTGGAGAGCACCGCGGGCAGCAGGCGGGTGCTGGAATCATCCTGGATCCCGCGTGCCTCATTCATTTCTCCCTTGGCACCAGTTTCAGGGGGCYGGGTTAGGGGCTGAGGACGTGGCAAGCAGCCGGTGAGAGAGGGCGGTTCAGCACTGCTAAAAACAGAGTGCCTACAGGAGCAGCCTAATTTCTGAATTATAGGGGCGTCCAGGGATGGCCAAGTGACACTGAGCAGCACCTCGGTGACTGACTTCTGAGATTCAAACATGTGTTTGTTCCATGTGGCAAAACCAGTAAAGAGAAGATKTGCATGAAAACACGGTTTCTTACAGCACTGAGCAAGGAGCAGTAGCAAAGTCACGATGCTACTGGGGTCTCTTTYCACGATTAGAGATTTCATAAAAAAAGTCAGCATTTCTCTGTATGCAAGCATTTGATCTTCACTGCAGACTGTTTTGAGAGAAAAACAGCAGACAGTGACATGTGTTGGAGACAGAGCATTCTATTTCAGCTCTTGACTAATTAGTTAGAGAACAAGATGCCCATTTTGTGAGCCACAGCCTTTGCTTTCTCCTTAAATGCACCTGTTACCAGTCTGATGGGAGCAACTGCTCAGCCAGGCAGAGCCYTGGCTGTCTCTGGAGATAGATACAGACAAAATCAGCCTGGCCAGACAGGAGGGCAGCTCCTGCTCCACGCCTGACACTTCAGAAAGTCTTTTGCAGAAAATGGCACTTACATCTAGCACAGTGCTTCACTCGTCACCATAGCAAAAGCAAAGCAAACACCAGTTTCCCTAGAAACTGCATGTGGCAGGGCATGTTGACTTTAAGGGAGGGAAAGAATCCTAAATAGGAAAGTTCTGGGTGCAGAAGGGTGAGTGTGCTGCAGGGAGGGAGAGGGGACAGGGCATGTCCCAGGCCCACAAGGACCAAGATGGCAAGAGTGGGGTAAGCACCCACAGTATAGATTCTCATGTCCACTGTCCTGCAGTGTCACAGACTGCTTGGGGCAGAGGCAGCTGAGTCCCCATGCTTGGGTGCCCCAGAGTGCATGGCTGGTCACCAACACCTCACCAGCCCCTGGTGGTACTCAGGGGTGGGCTCGCTGCTGCTAAGGCTGACCTCCACTTTGCATTCAGAGCCCCTGAAAGCAGACAARTTTGAGCAGGGGCTCTTGGGTTTTCTTCTCCAGGGCTTCCCCSTAAGAGAGGAAGCTGCCACTGCAGCCCTCAGCTGGGTGGCCCTGGGTGCTACTTCTGGCTCCTGTCAGAAACCTGCCTTACAAAGGGAAGCTCAGAACTTCTATTTATAACCACACAAGTCCCCCCAGGGCARAGGGAGTAACTAGTGCTGGGGAGAATGACTCTGAAGAAGGCATTGTCCAGCGAGGCACACTTATGGCAATGTAYCCCAGCCATGTTTGAGGAAGGGTGAGGAGGTACAGCTCAGGAGGCTGTACCTGGAGTACTGTGTCGTTTGGGTCTCTCACTGCTACAGGGCTTGATCAAGTGGGACAAGTCTGGCAGGGGAGCCCCTGAGACCGTGGGGAGATGCTTGGACAGTGTCACTAGGGGGAAAGACTGAGGGACCTGCTTAGGTGTCAGGAGATAGGCTGAGGGTGACAATCCAGTTGCTCTTGTCTATTAATTAAATGGATGCTATAGAGAGGATGGGACCAAACTTCTCTCAGAGGTGCACCGTGAAAGGTCAAGGGATGACAGCAAAGTTACAAGAAGGGAAATTCTGATTTAAACACAGGTTTAAAAAAAAATCCCAACKAGAGTGGTCAGACACCAGCACTGGGACCATGAAAGGCTGTGTGATCTCCAGCTTTGGAGACATTCAAAGATTACCTCAGACTTTGAGATGAGCCTTGTTCAGGGTGGAAGCTGGGCTGGGCCTCTCCAGAACTCTCCTCTCAAAAACCTTTTAGTGACTCTGTAGTTCTGCTAAACCTACTCAAATGTAGGAAAGAGCTGGAAACAAGGAAGAGCTCTGTAGCTTCTCGGAACCACCWGCTCCCTGCATGTTGTGTGAGCTTACACTTGAAAGGGAGCTTGGGGCAGAATAAAGCAAGGAGCATCCCACGTGTTACCCACACATGAGTTTCACACTGGCAGCTTTTAGATCTCATGTTTGTCTTTCAGAAGCTKCAAAATCAGTCACTCCCTGGGGACTGTGTGTGTGTGTGTAGGAGCAGAGTGTATTTAAGTGGAAATGTAGGGCGGACTGAATGCTGTCTCTTGTTCACAAGTGTTGTTGCCCACTAGATGCTGCATTTGCCAGGGATGGCTGAAGGAGACTGCTCCCAGCAGGTCACTTTCCCTGTCAGGGCCAGGAAAATGGGAAGCATTTCTCCCCTCCAGCTATCTCTGGCTCTGGAACAGTGTGATGAGACACACTGAAACCTACAGCGTAGGGTTTGTATGGGAGAAGATGCTGTAATTGGGCAGTGGACACACCACTTGTGCTGCGARCCCTGCTGTGAAAACAGTCGGTCACCTCTGGAAGAGGAGCAACATGGACAACTCGGACCAAAAGCTGCCAAATTGTGGCCCCATAATTCTGTTCCTGGATCTGAATGAAGTGATTCCCCGGCCTTGTGAGCCTGGAGAGAGTGGCCCCAGCTGAGGGAGAGGGACTCATGGTCCGTGTGCCACAGCAAGTGCTACAGGATTTGTAGGAAGAGGGTGAATCCCTCACAAAAAGAAAAAAAAATATATTCTTGTTTTAAGAGGATGGCACTGGCAGCAGCTGCCAGAAGGAGAAGGGAGTATTTGAGATGTGAGCCCAGCAAGGTTCCTTTTCATTCCAGGTTGTGTCACCAGTGACCTGGGCGCGTGTCCCARGGGTTTATTGCACCCTTCATGTTCACTGCTGGCCAGGCACGTGGARCCCCACAGCTCTGGCAAGGCCATGGGATGGTGACCCTGAAGGTCCTGGGATTGAGCAGTGTTTTCGTCCTTCGTTGCTCTTTTCCCATGATACCCCTGACCCGAAGTTCAGCAGAGTTTATCCTGCCTCCTGATAATCCTGGCTGCTTTCATAACTCAGGTGTGCTCTGTGCCAACCCTTCTCTGTGTGTACATTCCTGGCTCTCTGGTCTCCCTGAACAGGGAGAGRAGGGACCGGAAATCAGGGGGCCCCRAAGGCAGCACACCTGCAACAACCACCACCACTATGGGAGCCCTTTGCAGGAAAGAGGGTAAGGATGAGCACCACTGGGTTCACAGGCCTCCCAGAGAGCAGATTTTAAGAAAAAACTGCACACGGATCAGGTAACCTTACTGTTTCCTCAGCTCACTAGTTCCGTTCGGGTCTAGTCTGGCCCCAGCAGTTTAGGATTTCCCTGGGATGTGTGTGTGTGACTAAGTGGCCAGCTGGTTTGGTTTAAGCTCAATTAAAAGGAGAGAGGAAAGTGCTTTCCCAAAAGTCTCTTCTGAAGTGTGAGAAACCTGCAGTGCAGCAGCACCCCTCAACCAGCAGYGCCAAGTTCCACAGAAATTAATATTTATTTTGGCATTTAAACGAGCTCTCACACAAAGCTGCCTTAATATCGAACAAGTGCAAAATAACCCTGGGCAGATTAGTATTTGTGTCATTACAGAGGTTTAAAAAAATTACTCTGAAAGGCACTGTAAATCCGTGGAAGGAGATTTTCATTCTCTGCAGAGCAGCATGCACAGTAACAAGAAAGGAATCAAGAAAATCGCCATGCCCTGAATCAATAGGAGTGCATATGATGTCTCTCATCCCTCCTAGTTCTGCTGCCTCTGGGGCCATGGTGCTTTGGAGGCACTCTATGATCTGTGGCAGTGAAGGAGTTGGTAGGTGTCTGGGATATGGAACATACACACAGTAAGAGCACACCTCACTCTTCTTTCTCCTGTGAGCCTGTGCATTTGCTCCACCACACTCCTCTGAAGCAGAGGAGCTGGCTCAGTTTTAACACATTTTTGAATCATCCTGGAACRTACTATAGCTACATTTAAGCCATCAATGACACCACATCTGCTCGAAAAGCTGATTTCTTGAGTTTGGTACTGTTTCAGGCATATCCCTCYTACCTTCAGTCTGCATCACAGCTTCACAAACCCCTTTTCCCAGCCTGCTCTCCAATGTTTTCTTAACATCCTTGATAATTCTCTCTCATCCTCTGTGTTACACCTGTGGACTGTATAGGTGGAAGGGAGAAGARGAGGGAGGGTTAGCATCATTTCCACCTCAAATTTACCGGAAAAAGGCAAGTTATCCCATGACACATTTGAAAATCAGTCCTTAGGAGGGCTCTCTCTCTCTTGCCAAGGGATTCAGAAGCCTCAGATGTCCCTGTGTTGCCCTTCAGTGCTGGTAGGCAGTGTGGGGAAGGCACAAGTTGACCTCTTCTAGACAGCACTGGGAATGCCTGTGGAAGGCATTCTTGGCATTTATTTGCCAAGAGAATATGGATATGTGGTAGCATAATAGAACATGTAAAATCTCATGGGAGAGTATGCTCTAGGCAGGGAAATTATAACCTCATACCATCAGGAGGTTTAAAAATTATTATTACTATCATTATCATTGTCATCTTCACTGATGTTATTTTGTTTTGATATTGTTTCTATTTTCAAATAAAAATATTACATGTATCCAGAACACCAGAAAAACATCCTTTTACAAACTGAATTACATACCTACAAACTCCTTTCCTATTCTTGATTATGCAAGTACCCAGCAAGAGACAAGCAATTAAATACAGGAGTATTGACACAGCAGAAACAGACATATATAGTGATGAAAAGTTCACATATTTCCTCTGGCATTTGTTTGCTGTGGCTTTGACTTATATTTCATCATTTCTTAAGCACTCCCAACATTGAATCAACTTCATTCAAGAAAAGTAGSATGGAGAAGCTACTAACCCTTCTTCTGCACCCTCAAGCAGCTGATCTTTAGGTCACAGTGACAGCTTCAAAGCAGCCAGCATCTCTTTGCTGTTTTCCCCCAAGCACAACCTCCCAGGGGGCCCACTCCAACCCTTGGAGAGCTACTGCTGTCACCCCACCAGCYATTGCAGGAATCACATTTCCAAGGAAGAACACTAGTTTCTCATAGTCAGGCTGTTTGGAGTTTTATTAATGAAACAGTCAATATACAAAGTCCTAAATAAATATACAGCTATGTCAGACACCAGTGTACCATACACACCCACTCGGAGAGCTCGCTGTAGTTATATATATATTCCATGGAAAGCTGTTTATCAATGCAAAGCAGGTTACACAGAATGATTCAACTCTGCAGACTCATTGCTCATCACCAGGGTGCAGTCCACACACCACACACACACACACATCACACACGTGCTTTTGCTCACTCACRCCTGGGAAGAAGGCTGACCACCCTCTGTAACCTGGCTGCTCAGGAAAYATTTGTTGTAATGTCACAGACACACTCAGCAAGAGGTCGACATCCAAGGTTCACAGGATTATATCCCACCAGAGAATTGCAAGGAGCCACATGGAAGAGGCTTTGTCTTTGGGGATGCACAGCCTGGAGTGGCAGGGGTGGGGAGGGAGGGTTTGTGGGGTTGGGCAGGCACCTCGGGGAGCTCAGCTGGGGCACATGGGCAGGAGTCAGAGCTGGGAAGGAGGCTGTTACAACATGAATTGGAAAATGTGTCAGTAAATTGGTGTCGCTGGTTTTATGTCTTTAAGTTTTCTTGCCCATCTCCAGCATGGTTCCTAGATGATAAGGGATGTATTGGAAGCAAATATGAAGATGAGAAAATGAATACGCTTTTCTGTTTCTCTGTCTCTTCTCCACTGATCTCTGGAGAACAGCCAGGCAGGGCTGGGAGTGGGCACTAAAGTAACAGTGGACAGATAAAGATGTCCTCAGTAGTACCTGAGGTGTCTTCATTGGTGGGCAGGAGGAAGGAATGTGTAGGACTGATGCTCCTGGTCCTTCCTCTTCTCCCATCRGACGAGGTGGGCAGGCACCCCCTTCTGATTAAAGCAGGTCCTGTCTGGGGCAGAGCCAGTTGCAGACCTGGCTGATGATCTTCCTGCTTCTCTAGCATTCCAGCTGAAAACAGGCCAGGATGCTCCTCTGTTAGCAGAGAGAAGCTCCATTCCATGGAGACACAGAGAGASCAGGGACAGGGTGGCCAGGGCTGTKTCTGACAGCTAAGTTTGATGAGTAAGAGGGAGCTACAAGGGTGCCTGTGTGGGGAAAGAGAATCCCCCTCCTCTTTTGCTGGTGTGGGTTGACTTTCTTCTGCAGGATCATCTCACTTGTCACCATGTGGCCCATTCCCCGTGCCTCTGCTGAGGGGCACTCAGTCTCTCTGCTCACTGTGAAGCTGCTACATGGGGCTTTTCCCACCCGTGTAGTCGTGGTATGGGCTTGTCCGGGCCTTGGGGCGAGGGATGGAGAAATCATTCTGGGGTTCAATGGCCTGAAAAGGAAGCACAGAAGTCTTCACCTTTGAAAACTGGAGAGAAGTAATGAAACAGGGCTTACAGAGAAAACAAAGGAAGGGAGAAACAGAGGTGAAGGTTTCCTGAGAATGTGACCAATAAGGCTTTGGAAGAGGATCCTGGCAGAACAAATAAATGATGGAGATCTGTCACCAGAGGACATGTGGGAATAGGATGTGAGCTACTAGACTGGCTAGGCTGTGGTCTGAAGGAGGATTGGCAAATGGACAGGTGCACATTCAGACTGCTCACTCTGGATCTGCATTGCAAATTCTAGTGTCTGCTGGTGGGAATACATTCAGGRCATGGGCTGAAGAAATAAGCACAGTTTCCTGAAGAAAGGGCACAGTCTATTGTAGGAATTGTGCTCCAACAGAGGACTTCTTATGTGATACCAAATCCCAAAATATTGAATACCACAGCCTCTATATCTTGGGCCCTTTTTGCCTTCCCATGTCCCTGGACATGTCACAGCTCTTTCTTTCTCCCCAGTTACAGGCACCTCCATGATGTCAGAGTATCACTTGGCTCCATGCAAAGCATCTGCCTGCCTTCACAGAGCCTGCTCTAGGGTCCATCTACCTTTGCCCCTTCTTCTTCCCTTCCTTTCAGCACCTGAAMCATAGCCTACAGCCTGCATGTGGTGAAACATGACATGGGTGATGGGGAGCATGAACTTACCTTCATCTGAAACTGAGAGGCGTAGGGAGAGTAGTTGAGGTCTCCTGAGTCACAAGACAAAAGTAGGGGAAAGTTAGCATATTAGCAAGACATAGCAGCTTGGAAATATCACAAGGGATATCCTAAGGGTCTGTGGCTACACTAGCAGCTGCTTTTAGACTGGTCTAAGTATGCAGTGTGCAGGCAGGAATGGGCCAAAATCCATAGGTGGAGGACATTAAATATTTCCTTCTGAAAGCAGGAATGAATGGTATTGCAAATAGCAGGATATAGGTGGCCTTGGAGTTTAGACACCTCCTGTTGCCTCACAATTACTGTCACTATCACCAGCCAAATCCCTCCCATCTGTATGCACAAGACCCCCTTTCTGGTATTCCCTGGGTGAGCACAGCTTTTCTTGGCTATTTTTTTACAAACCTAGGGGTCTGACTTCAGGTGATAAATATGATACCAGTAACAGATCCACAGGGAGAGGAATCACATCTCCTACCCACAGATTTGGGAAACCTCAACTGCTAAAACATTTTGCTTTGTCCAAGTAGGCAGAAGACTCATACAGAAAAGGAAGACCTCCTTGGATGAAGGATTCATTCTCACATGGATATGGGAAYCAGATCAGAACCGGGGTAAATAACCTCCAAGTTAAACCCTGGATAGGCCTGAAGAGCTGATATGTCACTAAGAGACACAAAACCCTTCCTGATTTTTAACATGGACTTCCCAGGTATAGCAGAGTCATAAGGAGTTACGTTTCAGCCCTGACATGCAGCAAGTCTTCTGCTCAGTCTATTTCTACACCTCTTCAGCATTTGCATTGGTCCTCACTAATTTCCCTCGTGTGGAGATTAATTTACATGTGCATTTCCAAAATTTCATCAGTCTGAAGCTTTTTCCTAACCTCTAATTTATCTATCATCTTCAAATCTTTTCTTGTAGCTCTCCTACCTCTTTTAGCCCATGAGTGGTGCTTGYGTGCTTAGGGCTAGGGGGACAGGGGAGTCATTCACTTCATCATACCTTGCACGATCTCATCTTGGGTGTAGGCACGGTTTTCCACTCCACTTGCCTGCTTTATGAACTTGGGTTGGCAGAATTCATTTTCTGGAGGGTAGTCCTCCAGCTTCAGAGGAGCAGTGAGGAAACAAATTTCGGGGACAATATACATGATCAGRAAAATCCAGCCATTGGACACCAGAGCAATGGCCACAACAGGATCATCCCAAATTTCTTTCTTTAAAGCTGTGTTGCCTCTCATGAGCATAGTGATCCACACTACCCAAATGGCAATGGAGAACAGGATGGTGACAAAGATGTGCGCCCCATGCCTCTTCCAGCTTTTGTATGACCCACAGAATGTGAACATGGAAACCAGGAAGGTCAGAGCCATCAAGAAGAGCACGTAGATCAAAAGCATGACAAAGTCCTTGTTGGTATTCTCCCGAGACATATTCAGAAATTCTTCTCTCTGGTTTACTAACATGGTGACTAAATACTCAATGCTGATCACAACTTGTACCAGGGCAAAGGAAACAATGAAGAGCAGCAGCACCCGCCAGGAGAAGGGTTTTCGTCCTCTCACTAGTTTGGTGAGGTTGCAGGCATGGGTGAGGAGGCATGAGAAGCAGAGAGCAAAGATGACTCCAAATAGGAAGAAGCGAGTGGGACGAGTCCTGTCATTGAGTTTAATGATGAAGGCAAAAGTGAGACCAAAAACGCCGAGTGTGCCTAAAAGAAAGAAAAAATAGACGGAGATCATGTGCCGCTTGCTGTTGTCTTGGACTTTGCAGATGAGGAAGAAGAGCGAGCAGATGAGGAAAATGGTGATGAGGATGCCTGCTGCAGCCAGCGACTCCAGGACGATCCCCCAGGCTGCCTCTGTGTCACAGAGCCGGTAGTAGTCAGCATCGATGCTGCCGCAGCCGTGGGGAGCCGACGTTGTCATCCTCTCGCCTTTTTGAACAACCTCTCTGAAGCTGTAGAGAAAGAAAAAACACAGGCTGTAAGGTCACCCACCTGGGGAAGGAGAGGCAGGACAGATCTCCATCCCCGTATCACTGGGCAAGGACASCACAGTGCTCAGGACATGGGACAATGGGAGCAGAGTCATCTCATTGCTTGGTGCTGGCTCTCCACCAAGGGCAAGCCAAGCCCCTCAGGAGGAGGTAATTCACCCTGCATGTCCTCTCCACTGTGCCTGATATTGTGCAATGTTTTAGGAGTGTACGGAGCAGGGAGAAGGTGAGGTGCTTCAGCAGGCATTTGCCTGGTGCCCTGCAGTGCAGAGACTGAGCTGCCTTGTCACTCCTGTGATACAAGAGCAGCTGTTAGTCATAATTCAGTTGACGCTCTTTTGACAAGTTCAAACAACATCAGTACCCTGTACCAGGGAGATTCAGAGACGAACAATGCAGAAAGGAAATTCGTTGTTCTGTTTGTTTTCCCTCTTTYAATTTCTCTAAAGCACTTGTGGCTTTGGTTTACTGTTAGGAATGGAGAACTTTAATGCATTTTACCTTGCAGATAACTAACCTGGATGCCTGCGGCATAGCTCTTCTTACTCCAAAATTAATAGCAAATATAGACACCAACCATTAGCCCTAAACTCATATTCCTCCTTCTTCAAGGCAGCGTAACAATAAGGCAATAATAACTGCCTMAGACGTCAGTCTCCTCCCCAAGATATTGCCTTGCACTGACTGGAGGGACATGGAGCTAATGTTATTCATTGCATGAGAAGGAACCACCGAGTTATTGCGTGCGGAGTCCACAAGTCAATGATGTCAAGGTCTCTAACGCATTCCTGCTGTCTCATCATAAGGATTTCAGTGCTGTCTGAGCACACCTGTCTCCCAGAGGATAAGAGGGCCTAAGCGGGCTCTTTAGAGGAATTAAGCTCCCTACTTTCTTGGGAGCTTGAAGCATGTGGGGAAAGGCACTCCCCGACGGTGTTGGGCACTTYGTGGCCCATTATGCAGGCACAGAGTGAGTTTAGATCCTAAGGGCCAGATACTGATTTCTAGATAGCAATTCCTCAGTTAGACCTGAGTTTCTAAAATCTATCATAAGAGGAGTTTAGATACAATATCACAATGAAACATGAGTGAACCCATCCTTAACAGTGACCCACACTGGAAAATGAGGGGTTTTCTGATAAAGAAAAAAATTAACCTTGCAAAATTTAGACTTCAGTGCTCACTGAGCTTTTTGCCTTGATTTTCCTACTCCAGAACAACWTACTGGAGTTATGAAGTTAGTTCTCAAACCCTTACAGAAGATTTTAGTGGGTGCAGATAGTGTTTTTAATAAATGGCAGTTGATCGAATCAAGGGATGAACAAAAGGTGAAAATATTACTGACTCACTCTCAGCYCCACACATGCTTCAGTGGGACCTGCTTGTAACTGTACTGGGGAAATATTTTTCCAGTTTTTATTTTCACTCTGTAAAAGACATACAGCTCTTCAAAAGGCTGGCTACAGTAAAATGCAAATTATTCAAATATGCAGGAACTTTGGACTTGCATGGAGAGAACAGAATTAGTGGATAGCACATGCAGGAGTTTTCACAATCATTGCACACAAAATTTTGGGGGTTTATGACCTCTTGCACAGACAGCTGAATTACCTGGGCATTTGTGAGTAATAAATATGGAACGTTWGTGAAAAGTTGAAGAGAAAATTCTAAACTTTTATCCACAGACATTTACTGTTGATTAGATTAGTTTATCTGTTCACAGCTCTGGCAGATACAGACTGGTTCTCGATGTCGAGGCACGCGGAGAGCCCAGAGAACCAGCGTGAGTRACCTCATGACAGCACAGAGCACACCCATAGCTTTGAGTCCTGGCTGGTGCTGACTGCAAGTGGTGCTTGCCACAGCCAGCCAGTGGAACAAATGGGATGGAAAGAACCTTGCTGACTTGGAGAACTGGGCCACTTGCAACCATTCTTACTGCCTTTTTCTTTTTTTCCAGGGTAGATGTCCTATGAGGCAGGATGAGGCATGAAGAGCCTCTACCCTGTCTCCTGGGCAATTGTTGCTCTCCAGAAGCTGAGTCTGCTCATCCAGCACCTACAGAAGTGTCTGGGAATTCCAAGGGGCTCTGTAGTCTGTGCAAGGGAGCCTGTGCTGTGGCAACTTATCCTGCACACCCCAAATCATAGCTCTCACTTGAAAGCTGAGTCTTCTCCCTCCACCCTGACCCTCCTTTCCCACTGATACGTGCACATAAAATATATCCATTCACCCCCAAATTTCTAATAGTTTTGCGGGAGTGTCTTCCCAGCTCCAGCTGGCAATCCCATCTTAGAGTCACGGATGGGAGGCACCGTCAGCTCCCCGCGGCACCCATGGCCCTGCTCTTCCACTCCACAGAGCCGTGGTCCCGCACGCCATCCCACCCCAGCCCCTGTAAAAAACTGCCTTGAATTACCTGTGTGGTGCCTGGCGAAGGCAGCAGGGAGGCTCCGTCCAAAGAGGGGACACCTGCGCTCCTGCAGCCCCAGCCCAGCAGCAGCTCCGCTCGCCCTTGCTGCGAGCTTTAACAGCTGGGGGSTGAGGAGGTGGGGCCGAGCACGCCTATTCCAGTTCCACCGCCTCTCTCCCACAGGACACGGCTACGAAAATTCGGAGCCTGTGCCAGGAAGTGAAGTAAGGGCTCCTGACGTCAGCGGGGCACTCACCCCTGCGTCGGGGTGGAGATGGAGCCCTGGGACAGCGCTGAATGCTGCTCAGTCAGGCAGCTGATAAGGTGCTCCCCTGTCTGGCTCCTGGCACCCGTGGGTGGGGACCGGGACTATGAATAGCAGTGTGTCCCCTCCCTGCTCCAAGCCTTTTGTCTCTTTGCCTGCTTTCTCACCAGATAAGTGCCTGCAAAGTAGGAGATGAGGAGGCTGTGGAGTGTGAATGCTCCCACAGTGCCCAGAGGGAGGGTGGAAAGCCTGGATCCAGAGATGGTTTTCTCCGGGCTATCAATGGCTGCTGCATCTTCGTGTGGAGACGTGTCGCTCTGCGTGTCTGCTCTGCGTATCCCTTCCACCCGTGCCAGCGAGAGCCACCAGCTTCTTTCCTGAAAGGGCAGGTTGGCTTTCCTCGTGTCTCACTGGGACSGACCTTTCTTTCTGAAGGCTCAGTTCTACCTGCTGGAGAGCTCTGAGTCACTTTGTCCAAATTGCTGGCCCAAAAGGTTAATGAACAAAGGCAATGACAAATTCCCCCTTGCTCTACATTTTATGCCTCTGGCCCGACACACCTATCAACACAACCCCATCCAAATCCTCGAGTATCTCCAATGTGTTTGTGACTCCATTTGTTATTTCAAATATTACTCACTAGGAGTAAGGAGTATTTCATTATCCTGATTAAGGAATTGACCTCAGGGCCTATCCTCACTGAGCACTCAGCCCCTACACATAGCCCCAAACCTGAAAATCCCCCCGCACTTCATGATGTTTGTGTACCAGGAGTGTGGGGCAGGGGGAGCAGCAGCTGCACATGTCTAAATGCCCACAGGTGTCTCATCTGCTTGTTAATTTTGTTTGTTTGTTTTAGGGCTTTTGGCTTTTTTTCTGGGTCCTGATCCTCTTTGAATTTCACATGTGGAGATGGCCACAAAACTGTATGAGAGAGTCCTCTCTTCCACACCCCACAGAAGTACCTGAAGGAGTACCTGAAGACCTGCAGGAGTGGGTGGCTCATCCAGTGAAAGGCAACACTCAGTGCAGTCGCTGTGGAGTGGGTCATGTTGAGCCCTAAGACAGTTCTTCGTTCCTTCCTATTTTTATTTCAGTGTAAAAGTCTGAGGCCTCTTAGAAAAGGGCATACCAGGTTTCTCTRCATGAAAGTAGTCTAAACTTTAAAGCAGATCCTGGGCTTACGGAGCCAGCCAAGAAGGCAGCATTCAAGARAATGAGAAGGGAAAATAAACTGTGATGGAGAGGAGTTTAGTACCATCTCAGTGGACCCAACTTGTCAAGGTAAGCATCCCAAGAAGCTTTCAAAGGTCACTGGTCACTGCCAGCCTATTTGCATCTTGTCAGAGCACATTAAGGACTGCCAGCTACTTCCCTACATTTACACAGACACACAAAACCTCATGGAATAGACTGTGTCAAATCGTATCAGGCGAAAAAAAGAAGAAAATATAAAAGTAACACAGATGCTTCTCAGAATGCCTGAGAAATCCGGGAGAATCAGTCATCAGACATAACCTGTACTTTCAAAAGGCTAATGGGGCTACATTTAAAAACAACCCCAAGCGACTTATGAGCCTGACGGGCTGCTGACTCACTGTAGSTAGTGTGAGGCATGGTGGCCATGGCTCCTGTGCTGAGCCAAGGAGGGTGGAGAGGCACCACTGGTCTACATGGGCAGGTACAAATGGTGCAGCGATCACACCAGAAAGGCGAGATGGCTGTCACCTCGCTTTAGGGACAGGATGTAACCTGCAGGTAGAGGCACCTAAATTTAGATGTCTCGTGGTTATTACCTAAATGTGAACTGAGTGTCTCAGCTCAGAAACAGCCAAAAGGTCAGAAGGACTGTCCCAGCCGATTGGATGCAGGTGCCTGTTTCTGTGTACACCGAAATGCTCCCAGGTGTGGCTGCCTGGRTTGCCTGAGGTCTCACTTCAGTGGCTTGCACATGCCCATAGTGTCATTCCAGGTGCCCCAGGGTCTCCTGCTCAGCTTCCAGTGACCACTACAGAAGCACATGCATTTCCCACACCTCCTCTATCAGATCTGGCAGGCCTGTGCAGATATTTTGGATACCCTTAGGCATTTCAAATCACCTTTCTAAGAGTAAATGGATTTTGCACACTCAATCCCCCCAGGCTATTTCAGAGTTGGGATATAGCCTGGGTATATGTTTGGGTACCTAGTCCATGGGATGGACTTAATTCTGGTTCACCAGCATAGATAAATAGTTCATTTTAGCTCTGTTACTTGTGACTCAGTCAACAGCATAGGAATGGCACATAAGAAACAAAAGCTCTGGGAGTCAATCCTTCTGGAGCATTAGCTCACACTGAACAACACAGGGGATTCCAAATGACCCTAGGTACCAGAGTATGGACAATTAAATTGATTCCTAGGTGTCTACAGAGCAGAATTCTTTATGAGGCAGTCATGTGGAATCCCACTATAGTYGGTGTAGAGAAGGGGGCACTTCCAGGGTAGTTGCAGTTCATCTGCTTCAAGACAAACCAAATCACACCTGACAAATACCCATGCCTTTCCAACAGAGATGGAGACAAGATAATGATCTTTACACTTGACAGCTGAATTGCATAGCGAATCTCCAAAACAATTTAAACACAGGCCAGTAGCAAAATGCTGGTAATGTTGGAAGTTCCTTTGTGTGGGAGGCTTTGGTAGCAAAACTGCTTGTTTTGGCCATATTGCAGCCCTGGACAAAGCAAGCTGACTGCTGGTAGCGGGGAGTAGAGTGACTATGGCTGACAAGGAGAGTCAGGCACAGCAGCAGGGCCTGGCTCCTTTGGGCAGCAGGCACCCACAATTCCCAGCTCTCAGGCAGCAGGATGAGGGCAGGATGAGGGATGCGCTCTCCTGCTTGTGTCAGCTCTGCTCCCTGCTCCTTCCTGCAGCTGGCATTCTCTGGCTCTGCTCCCTCCTGCGGGGTGGGAGTGCCCAGTGCTGCCCACAGTGCCCTGGGCCAGCCCTTCTCCACTGGCTGCAGKGTCACAGGGCTGAGCTGCCAGCAAATGGCAGAATGCTTCAGCCCCCTCAGCTCAGCCAGGAGTGGGGAAGGCAGCAGGTCTGGGAGGTGCAGCGACCGAGATAATATCTTTTATTAAGACAAGTAATAAAGAAAGTWGATGCCTGGGGGGAGATGGTGCATGGTGCTCTGGAATGTGTCTAAATAACATGTTTATGTTTGAGCAGTGATGTTGGCTGCGGTGTGAATATGCTCGTGTCAGTCCTTCTGCTTGGTTACCTGTGCACAAAAGATAGCTGAACAACAGAGAGCTGAACAGCATAAAAACAGCCTTGCTCCCCGAAAAACATCCCCCCTGCCAGTACTGACCACAGTCATCTTGAGCTAACGCTACAGCAACCTACACCCCATCCTGCTCCATCCATTTTCTTCRTCTTTAAATCAGTTCAGGTATAAACACTGACACCCTTGGAAAGAGCCTGGAACAGAGATGATGGGTCTTCAGCCAGCCAATCCAGGATACCTTTGCCTTACACAGGAGAGAAGACAAAGGGAGGGGGTGTCATTTCTGAAAAGGGAAATGTTGGATCTTTGCATAATACTGGGCTTTCTCCTGGTGTCCTGTCCCCAAATCCCTCATGCTCTGGCTTTGGAAGCATGTATCCAAGGATTACCAAAAACTCAAAGACTCTAAAAGTTAAATAGCTTTCCTCTGGAAATGAAGAGTATTGCACCAAAAAGTAAATATTACTTGAATAATTGCAAAAGAAACACATTCTGGTGTCCTTCAGAGTCATTACTTTTCTCTGCAGTCATCAGTTCTTCCCAACTGCATTCTGTGCTCCCTGCCATTTTCAGTCTCAGGAAAAAAAAAATTCTGGTATGTAACAATTCTTTGCTTTCTGTGTTGATTGCTGCCTCCTCCCAAAGAGGTTCCCTYCTTTAAATGAGCAGGTTTTGGCCAACCCCTTTCTCTTCCTGGCTCCTAAATGCAGATTCCTGGTACTGGACTTTCATTTACTGGGAAAAGGAGAAATTTTGTCAAGAAAAGGGCAAAGAGACTCATTAAAATATTGAAATCAATATATCCTATAAACAGAAACTTTCAAACTTGTGAATTAACTGCAACAGCAATCCCAGTTGGTGAGAAGACCTTGCTTCTGGATATGTAATGGAAGTGGATTGGCTGGTCCTCTGCTAGGAATATGATGCTTTGCAATGCTGCTAACAGGATTACTTCTGTATGCAATCCCAGGTATGAACAGCCTGGTACCTGGAAACCCAGGGGCAGGTGGAAGCTACTGGAGGACCTGCAGAAACTGTGCTGAATTCATGCCTTGGACTTGCTCCTGTCCCATAGGAGCAGCTATTACAGTCTCATATTCCACAAGTGTGGAAGCTGATGAAGAATGGCAGAAATAAGTGGAGAACAGCTGAAACTGTGATTGTGATCACTTTGGCCAAGAAGAACATTTTCATACAAGACTGGTGCTTTTTAAGGCTGTGAACAAGCTTTAAATTAAGCCTAAAAACAAGCCTAATTAAAAACTTTAATTAGATTTATCMCCTCCTTTAGGACTTTCAACACTATGCTGATAAATATTTCACTCCTGACAACTGAGCCATTCCTCTAGATCTATTTTCCTGGAAATATCCTGGGCCCATCCACTTACTAAATCAGCAGGGAATACTCCAGTCCTCCTTTATCACATTAACCTCATCTGCTTTTATGCTGATGCATTCCCAAAGCAGCACGTTGCCCTGATATGGATGACTGGTTATTGTATATAAACAGACATTTTGGGAGAAGAACATAACTCTCAGTAAACAAGGGATCTGAAAACATACCCCAAAAAAGGAAGAAGTGTCAAGGGACATCCAGGAGGACCTGCATTYTCTCTCTCCCAGAAAGG